AATTATTATTAATTTGCTAAAACTAAAAATCGGACTTTAGGCCAAATTTTTGACTTTTTGCTAAAGTGCAAGTATGATCTATATGAGAGATGTCTGGGGTCCTATCTGTCTGCACATTCACGTGTTTGTGCAATGAGATGACCATCATATAATATATAAAAATTTTATCTAGCTTCAAACAATACTTAGTATAGTAATCAGAATGTGGAATCATTTTAGCGTATACTAGATTATTGACTTAAAAGAAATCTAAATAAATGACACAGTGAAGCCTTGATTTGAAAATATATACTCTTTTATTGATAATTCTAACCCTACAATAATCCATGACATATAATAATGCTCTACGCTTAATTATTCTTCACTAAGAATATTATGGATTTACTCAAAACCCATCACCCAAGAATTTATATTAGTGCATGATAAAAAATATGCACTTAAAAAAGATCCTAGTTGTGGAAAATGTATGGTTTGCAAACGCTTTAACATTTCAAAGAGTTGTGTCATTCATGTGATCCTTGGAAAGTTTGTATTGTGGTTGTGACATTTTCTAACAACCAATTATTTCATTCACACAGGACTTAAAGTATAATAGTACTGAGGTGAAGAAATTGCAATTAGAATTAGAAGTAAAACCCGAAAAGGTACATGCATGTGGTAACTAATTGGCAGTGTGGTGTGTAGAAATTAAGTTCTCGTGCAAGTCACGTTCAAGTTGGCGTGGGTGTGCTACTTACTCGAGTAATGACTATCTGGTTGTTCAAAGAAGTAGGTTTGCTAACATTGGTCTCTGCTAGACTCGATGGCTTAACAAGAGTAAATCCAAGCTACTTATTTCATATACCATCTGCCAACTTTTTATAGTTTATTATTTGTATATATTGTGGTTGTGACGTTTCTGACAACCAATTATTTGTATTCATATATAGGACTTAAAATACAATAGTACTGAGGCGAAGAAATTGCGATTAGAATCAGAAATAAAGACCAAAAAGGTATATGCATGTGGTAACTAATTGGCAGTGTGGTGTGTAGAAATTAAGTTCTCACATGAGTCACGTCCAAGTTGGCGTGGATGCACCACTTACTCGAGTAATAACTATCTGGTTGTTCAAAAAAGTAGGTTTGCTAGCATTGGTCTCCGCTAGACTTGATGGCTTAACGAGGATAAATCTAAGCTACTTATTTCATATAGTTCATTATTTGTATGTGTTGCGGTTGTGACATTTTCTAACAACTAATTATTTCATTCACACATATAAGACGAAGAAATTGCAATTAGAACCAGAAGTAAAACCCAAAAAGATATATACATGTTGTAAATAATTGGCAGTATGGTGTGTGGAAATTAAGTTCTTGCACAAGTCACATTCAAGTCGGTGTGGATGTGCCATTTACTTGAGTAATAACTATTCAGTATTCAAAGAAGTAGGTTCGTTAGCATTGAATAAGAAATGTGATAATTTATTATCACTAGGCATCAAAATTTGATAAGTGTTTGAAGCATTTGTTTTTTGTTTTTTTTTGTAGACTCAATGCTTAATGAGGGTAATTCCAAGCTACTTATTTTGTATATCACCTGCTAACTTTTTATAGTCTATTATTTATATGTGTTATAGTTGTGCCGTTTTCTAACCACAAAAGTTACGTCGCACAGGATACAGTTGCTGTGAGCTATTTTAATATAGGGCACAAATATTGATATGCGATATAGGTTATTCAAAACCAATGTAATTGACTAGTGATGAATTTTATTTCTACGTATACCTCAAAAATGTACTAAGTAATTAGCCCAAAAACCTTACTCTAAATAAAATTTAAACCAATATACTTAGCCAAACTCTAAATTTTAGCAAAAAACTACCGGGTTGGTGAAAAGTTCCTTTTTTTAATCATTGATATGTATTTTTTTTGATTGTTATAGTATTTTCACCCACCTGATAATAATCACCTATGGTGAGATTTAATAAAATTCCCAAAAATTTGGTTATTACCAAATTGAGTCCTAAAATACCATTTTTAATTGGTAAACTAGATCACGCCACCTTAGCGAGCTGTAAAATCAAAAACATTGTTTTAGTTTTTCTTCAAAAAAAAAATAAAAATTCAAAATAATTATTAAGCAAAAGTTTATGTGCTTTCAAAATTTTTTCTGCTACTGTAGTAAAAAAAAAAAAAAAAAAAAAAAATCGAAATAATCTAAATATTAACAAAGTGCTTCTGATATAAGAAATTTTATAAAACCTTTTGTTTGGTACTTTATTTTCAGGAGAATAAAATTTTGCTGAGACAAGCTCGTATAATTTTAAAAAATACCCAACTCTGTTTCAAAATTCCTTATTCTGGCTGCAATTTTACCTTTATGAACCTTTGAAATATTTTAAATTTATTTTATTGATATTGTTACAATACCGCAAATAAATAAAATGCTACTGCAAATTGCTAATTAATAAATTATTATTATTATTTTTTTTATACAATAATGTATCAAAAGCATTTTCCCGAAAGAAAAAGTAATTAGTTATTTTCAGAAAAATAGCTTTCGGAAATCATATAGTAATTATAACACAATATTTTATTAGGTGCTAGCTTGCTAATTAGTAATACTAAAATAAATGTTATTGAAGCATTTGATTTTCAAGTATTTCCCAAAATGAAAAAGCAATAGAGAAACTTTCTACCAACTATCAAAAAATACTATGGCAAAATTGGAAAACAATTCAACAAACAATGAAATAATTCATAGTTATGTATTTTTCTTCAAAAAATTTAGCCAAATTGCAAACAAAATAATTGAAATTCCCTTTCATCGAACTTTTCCAATTTTTTATTTAAAAGTGACAACTCCATTTAGTAACAATTGATCAACATAATAGATTGTTTCAATCAGCAATGGTTAAAATTACTCACTGCTAAGTTGCTAAATAATTAAGCAAATTCCAGAATTTTGTATAGCAGTATGATTTAAAAAAGTAAATATAATAATGGTCATTAGAAATTTTTAGAAAACCCGTGCAATAATGCAGTAATCATCTTCTGATAGTGATTTATTAGAGAAATCAAGATGTTAATCTGTATTTGGTTGAGTAAGTAATACTTTAGAAAGAAATAATGATATAATATCTGAAATAGATAGAGTAGTGTCTTCTACAATAGTTACTATATACCCAGCTTGTATAGCTCTACAAGGGTCAAAGATCACCTAATTATTTATTAGGAGACTGTTATTATTTAAACCTTCTGGATAAAAATCAATGTTTTAAAATAAATTAAAGTTTTAAATTTTAAATTTTAAAAGTAAAACAAATATACAGTAATCTTTAAATATCATGCACTGTACTATATAATATAATAAAAATTTGATATAAAAATTTAAATTATGTTATATACAGTACTGCAGTATAAGGTTTTTAGAAATTTAAATATTTTTATTTGAAATTTCTAACTTTAATTACTTAGTTTATTTTTGAGATATAGCACTTTTTTGGTGATTTAACCAGAGAAATATCGATATCATAATTTTAAATCATAAAATTATGCATATATGGCGCCACGGTGACACGTGATATAACGACACACCAGGTCAGTAACTTTCATTTTATCGTTTGTTTATAAATATTTTTTCTGTACATATATGATATAGTGAAAAACAATAATAAAATTTATGAACATTGACATTTATTTTTAATTCGATTAACATATATGCATAAACATAAATCGAAATTTCATTTTTTTGACAAGATTTCATTCATAATAGCAAAAATCTTACTGCAACAACCTCATATTTCTAAATAGTTAAAAGATTAAAATACATGATGATGTTTCCTAATCTCAAATTTACCTTTTACTGTAACCTTAATATCATATACTCTTCCCAATGAAGGTTGATTCGCTTGGTAATAAGTTTGTCTAAGATAATCAATGAGATCTTGAATAATCTGCTGATTCTCCATAGGGGGAATATCAACAACACAAAAAATTGAATTAGATGAATTGCTAGCGGCCATTCCTCCTCTAGTCATGCAATTATCTGAAATTGGTTGAAAACCAGGAAACGTTCCAATAACTAATCCAAAAAAAGAATAAAAAAGAATAGTTAAAAGATGTAACAAAACATTATCAGTTATTTTTGAATATACTATTAGCTAAGTTATTTCTATTAATATTTCTCTGTCTGAGTCTATTATCATCCCACTCAACGATAAATAACATTGGATCAATATAATAATCATCTATCTCATTCATCTCAGAGACACTGCAATTCGCTTTTGCAGTTTTAAACCATTGGATGATACTTTCTTGGGTCTTGTCATTAAAATTCTTTAATGAATCCGGTGAATCCGGCATCTTTTTTTTGCTAAAAATTTTTTTCAAATACATCATATTAAGACATAAGTAAATAAACACATTGTACAAGAGAAAAAATGAGCGTTATACCTAAAGAGCTTAGAGAAAAGCAGTACATGAGTGTTAAAGGAACGCTAATGGGAAAGGTACACAAGACAATATAGGTTGCTATAATTATATAAATGGTTTCTTGGTTGATGGCGATGTTAACTCTAATCATTGTCTAATCCCCATTAGTGGAACGAATTACCTTCAATATAAAAAATTCGTCAAACCGGTTTTTAAAATATAATAATTATATCATGAAATTTGTTTTGTCGGAGCGAATGGTTGGCTGACATGTGCCGCGCAGCGGCACATTTCAGCCAACCATTTGTTCTGACAGAACATATTTATCATCGCATGATTCAATATCGATGTTATCGTGCAATTATGATCATGATTTACAAGTCATTATTGGCCAACTGAGTTTAACTCGAGATTGTTGTGCTTATGTAATAACGTACAAAACTAACAAGAAGAAAAAATCTATGATCATAAGAGTTTGCACGATAACGACAATATATCTGCTTATGATCGAATAAAATACTATTGATACGTATCATATTTTTTACTACGTGTAAGTTAGTGATGTCCAAAACTTTTACCTTTTCGTATAACCCGAGCTTTTTGGACTAGGCAATAATGTTAGTGATAACAAAATTTCAATCTGAGCAATTTTACTTAGTAGTGGTTTTTTATCAGTAAAATTTGTTGATTTTGGAAGCTCGGGTTACACGAAAAGGCAAAAGAATACAAATTGCGTAGCACAAAAGCATTTTTTTCTTGCGTTACTTACTATAGCGGGTCTGTGTTACAAGAAAAAAAACTTTCAAGTACTGAATAAGCAGGTTGGATTTAAATTTAAAAGAACCCACATTTAAAGAGAGACACCGACATCATGTAATAATATACTCTCGTTAATCAATAACACAGTTAGTAGAACGGTATTGAATTTGCTAGAAACTCTGAATGCAGTATCCAAAAAAGGCAGTAATCCTTTTTATGATGCTATTGTGACGATCTGAATATTTCATATTTCGAAAAATGCAAACGTAACGAATATTTTTAACGAATAGAGATACCCTTTTCATTAATGATTTTTAAAACCGCGATTCATACAGTTTCTTTTCATAGTTTAATTGCATATCAGATATGTAACTTGTAAAAAAAATTTCGTCAATTGCAGATCCCTCAATTACGAAAAAACGATGATATCACGTCATCATTGAGTAAATGAAAGGCTTAGATCATATACCCGGAATTTGAATCAGCTTCTATATTCAATCGATATTTTGTAAGTTTTTCAAACAGTCTGAAAAAAAAAAACGTACCCAGTGAGAGTGTGTTAGTATTATCGTAACTTCTATAGTGTAGTGATTTACTGTAACAATTTTATTACTGTACTTAGACTATTGAATGACTGTGATTTCTAGTAATTTATGTAAAAAAAATTCTACCGACTATAGGTTTGCTGAAATTATTGAATAAGAGAAAAAAAAAAATTTCTGCACATTATTCTAAAATAATGAAACAACGCGTTTTTTTTAATGCATTGTTTCATACAGTATAGTGATGGGACTACAGATGCTAAAAATTCTATTGTCACACGGCGTGATCTATTAAAAAGAATTTGATTCTTCATAAATTATTTGAATGCGAAAATTAAGAATCTTTCGACATTACATCATGATTATATAGATCGTATATAGAGTGACTGCATTTTAAAAAAATTATAAATAGAGAAACCTTTTCACTCGAATTTTACCAGACAACAAAACATTCAAAAAGATATATATAATATTTAAAATTAAAACCACTTATAAAATTCATTAAAAGCATTTCCAATTTCCAATCAAACTCTAAGCAAGATGGCTGACCAAGAAATACCTGAATCTCAAGCTCAACGCGTTAGATCTGATACTCATGAATCACGTTCTGAAAAATCTTATAAAGCAGCTGCTCATAATCCGACCGTGTCTCACGAAGCTAGGTTCGTTTCTTCGTTTCTACCTAATAATGATTTGATTTTTTATTCTTATAAAATATTTTTTATAAAATTTTTTTTTTAATTTTTAATTTTAAAAGAGTAAGCGCTGCGAACAAGTTATCCGAACTTCATGAACAACGCACCGGTGAGAAAATCGACCCTCATCACGAAGCATCTATTGGTGATAAAAAAGCCGAAACCCGTGACACTCAACAGTAATATTTTTCTATGATGGCACATGTGAGGGTAGATTAGAATTATTACGCTAGCAGTTTTATTTTACTTTTTATTTTCTTCTTTCTACATGTTTCTATATGAAATATAAGAATATTTTTTTAGCTTGTTATACTATACTGTATGTTCAATTTGATTATTACCATTATAGTTAAATAAAATGTTAGTGTAAATCTATATATATATATATATCAATATATATATAAATCACATAAATCTATTTATATATGTTAGTGTATTATTGTACAATGCTAAAACCTAAATATAGCTACGTATCACTACTGTGTCTCTCAAACATGAATTGCTTTAAAGAAGATTTTATATATATATATATAATGTGACGGCTGATGCTGATGCTGAATATCACATGACATTTTGGTCCGGAAATTGCAGATCGGGAAATTTCAAAACAAACAGTCATTTGTC